AAAGAAAGAACAAAAAAAAAGCAAGCACAATAAAAAGAAAAAGAAAAAAGAGCTTTATTGTTTTTAATTAGTTTTTATTATTAAAATTTTCACAATCCAAAACAAATAAACTGTTTTTACACAAGGTCAAGTCTCAAATTTGAGAGATTAATGCAATTTGCTAAAGCAGAACCTAAGCCTGATGCACCCACTGCACCAATTTAATTGTTTCTTTTTAAATATTGAAGAAAAAATATATCATTAAATAGTTAATTAGAAGGAAAAAATATGAAATAATAAACAATAAATAATAAAAGCAAAAGTTGAAAATAAAATGATGAGCTAAATTAACAAAGAAAGAACAAAAAAAAAGCAAGCACAATAAAAATAAAAAGAAAAAACAGCTTTATTGTTTTTAATTAGTTTTTATAATTTAAAATATCACAATCGAAAACAAATAAATTGTTTTTACCTAAGGTTAAGTGTCAAATTTGAGAGATTAATGCAATTTGCTAAAGCAGAACCTAAGCTTGATGTACCTTCATCACCAATTTTATTCCAACTTTTTAAATATTGAAGAAAAAATATATCATTAAATAGTTAATTAGAAGGAAAAAATGAAGAAAAAATATGAAATAAATAATATAAAAGCAAAAGTTGAAAATAAAATGATAAGATAAATTAACAAAGAAAGAACAAAAAAAAAAGCAAGCACAATAAAAATAAAAAGAAAAAACAGCTTTATTGTTTTTAATTAGTTTTTATAATTTAAAATATCACAATCTAAAACAAATACATTGTTTTTACCTAAGTTTAAGTGTCAAATTTGAGAGATTAATGCAATTTGCTAAAGCAGAACCTAAGCTTGATGTACCTTCGTCACCAATTTAATTATCACTTTTTAAATATTGAAGAATAAATATATCATTAAATAGTTAATAAGAAGGAAAAAATGAAGAAAAAATATGAAATAAATAATAAAAGCAAAAGTTGAAAATAAAATGATGAGCTAAATTAACAAAGAAAGAACAAAAAAAAAGCAAGCACAATAAAAATAAAAAGAAAAA